GAGACTTACTAAAGGATGAGCTGAAAATGTGTTTAACACAGTACCCTGGAAAACTTTTTTCTTTTGACAGGAACTGGAGCTCTACTTCTCCAAATTTTATGTATGTAGCTGTACATGTGAGATTACTGCAGGACCACAGCCATGCTTCAACTTAATTGCACATAAGTGTTATCTGGGAGCCAGATGTTGTTTGCACAGCCATATGTTGACCGAAATGCGTATTTTTGTTGTTGTTCTTGTAATTGATTTTGCTTGCTTTAAGTGGTTGAGAACACAAATACATTTTGGGTCTTGGTCCTGGCCAGATAAGACTGAGTGTGGGCAATGAAATGAGGGATAACGCTTCCCCCTGTGAGGGTATGGCCACTGCTGGATTCATACCCTCCATTTATTTGAGGCACTGCTATTTTTAAAATTTCCCTAGGGTTGAACACTGGGCCGCATTCTGCCATTGTGTTATGAGAAGTTTGGCTTAAGAGCAGGTAGGGATGTTGGGCATTAGGATGGAGGCTGAGAAGCCTGTGCCTTCCCTGCTGCTGCATCAGTCTGGACCATGACCCCACAGACACCCCCGGGGCACAACGCAGGTCACGTAAGGCACGGGCTGAGGGTGCTGAAGCCTCCATGGCGGCTCATTGGGCCTTTGGGCAAAGGGTGGAATGCTGCATCAGGAGGAGTGTGATGTCCAGTCAGGGCAGGAGGCCTTCTGGTGATGCAGAGCCTGGCTTCCGAGAGGCTGGCAGTGCTCTGGGGATGAGTTAGCATGTCTCCGGGCCTCCGTTATTTCTTCTGCCTTGATGTGATGCCTGCAGGAGGAGGGGAAAATACAAACTGTTCGCACCTCTAAAGTGAGAGTGGTCTGGTTTGTTGTGTGGATTGGTTGTGGTACTAACTCAGGTAACTTAAACTTCTAGCACTGCCAGTTTTTATATATTTGCTACAAACCTTGCTCGCGTTTCTAGGACTGATACTGATGTTGAAGAGTTTGGGCAGCTCTGTTCTTGAACTAGGCAACAACGCGAGTCCTGTGTTTTGCAAGCAGAACGTTGGTATATGGATCTACATGTTAAATTGCTGAATTAATAAATCTGGACACCCGTTTTGTTTTGTCCAGTGTCACCATCTGCTGATGTCAAATGAAACCTGTGTGTGGCACTTCATGAAGTTGAAGAACATCTCCCACCTTGTGTGAGAAGTGCTACTGGGGAACAGAGCTGGGTCACAGCCATGAGCCTGGGACTTCAGAGGGCACAGACAAACTTTCTGTCACAGCATGATAGAGCAAAATGTGTGTATTGTGCCTTCGCTGCCTGACCCATGGGTAGGCTCCCATCTGGGAGTGTTTCTTGAGAGAGTTCGGGCTGTCAGAAGGAAAGAACTGTGTGTTGTTGATTTAAACACCAGTCCCACTCAACAGCTGAAGGAAATACCATTTCTAATGACAGATATGATGGCAAAGGTTGCACAGGAAGACAGCCGTTAGCTTGATCGCATTGCTTTGGTTCATTAGAAATCAGCCCACAGACACCACTGAGTCTGCATGGGGAGAGGTGAAGCATCTAGTTGTCTAAATTTAAAACATTAATTAAGTTAAAAGAAAACAAAGGAAAACCTTGATTCCAAAACTTTGTTCCTTGGTGAGATAGGCTGAACTCCCATTGTGTCCACATATGTATCATAGCTGCTGGCAAACAGCAACTGTGGACTTTTGCTTTTGCCTTTTCCCTCTGAGCCTCACCAGGCTGCAGTGTTTGAACATTTGGTTGGAAATTTGTTTAGCTGTTGCCAGGACACACACAAACACAAGGTGACCCCCAATATATTGGAAATAGAGATTATTTGGGTATAAAAGAATAATGGTGTTAATACAGAAACTGCTGCATAACAAGTTATGGTCAAGAGGAGAGAACTGAATAGCTGATTACCTAAGTCCTTATACAGCTCTGAAATATTATTTCACACAGTCACAGGCTGTTCCTGGCGGGTCAAATACTGTCCTTTCTTTGTTGCTTTTATGGAGACTCTAAAGGATTTTGGGGTGTGGGGAATAAGGAGGTGTAGCCTTTATCACTGCAAGTGCATTTGTATAAGAAGGAAAATTCCTACAGCTTCACTTCAACCTGGCAAATTCTAGCTCCAGCCAGAGAGTACAAGGAGTGTGACAAGAACTTAAAGGTGGTCTCTGAAGAAAAAAAAAGATAGGGTTATAAATCAGGTGAATCACCCCGGAAAAAAGGACTGGACTTCTTTTCCTGGGGTCTCCCATCTTTGTGATGGGGAGCACTTCTGGTTTGCTAAGGCTGCCAAGAGGAATAGGCTTGAGTTGCATTTGGGGGAGGAAACACCATGGCTACAGACTAAGAAAAGCAAATAGATTTTGTTTCCTGTGACTTTTCCAAATGACACAGGAATGAAGAGAAAAAGGGAGTTGAAGATTTCAAGTGCTGCTTTTCCACTGCCCTTGCAGCTGTGAGCACTTGTGGGCACTGGTGGCATCTCAAGGATGTGCCTGACTCAGTCACTTCTTAGTGGCGCTGGCTTTCCATGCATTCCTCTATATTGCTTTGCTATGTCTCCAGAGGAGAATTTGAAGCTGTCTGCATCTCCGTTTGTTAAAAGTAACCTTTTTTTCAAACCTGCATGCAAGAATCTCTGTGCTTAAAACATATAATTTGAGTTAACAACTCTCGGTTCCAGCTGCCCTCCCTCTGCAGCATAATCACGAGCCCTCACTGCTACTATTTTCTACTTTTTTTTCTACAATTTTCTGCTCTTGCTGTAAATCTTCATCAGGATTTTTAAACTAATACTACCACTCCCCTTTTTCTCTCAACATAATCATGAAACATGGTACTGAAGGGCCAAGAGGAGACGACAGCAGTAGTCAGGAGCATAACTACCCAATATCTCTCATTTTCTCTTGCTAGCAGTGATGCTTCAGGTGCAGAAACAAAAGCAACCCTACGTGGGAATCCTGCAGAGCTTCCTCTGCTCCATGCCCTCAGGGCTAGGGGTTCCTGTCCCCCTATGCATGGGGGATGCTGAAGAATAAACACATTCCTATCAGGAAATGAGAGAGTAAGAGATTTGGCATCATTGATTCAGTTCACAAGAGGTGTTCATCAGAGTGGAAAGGACAAGTAACTATGCAATTTCAGTACAGTGGATGTTTTGACTGTTTATTTTTCCTGCTTTTCTTTGCACTTTCAATAAGCATGCAAACTTTTGTTTATAAAAGTTTTGGCCTGAAACTCCTAAAGTTTTCTCACAATGGGCAAGAAAACTGCCCATTGGAGGGAAGTTATATGTACCAAGATCTCTGCATGTTATTTTTTTCGGTGACAAAAGCTGAATCCCCTCCTTTACCTTGTCCCATAAAAATGCACGAGTGCAAAGAAGTGTGCATGGTCTGTTTGCTCCAATGCACTACCTTGTGTGCAGTATCTTGAGAAATTGAACTTGGCTTTGAGTTGGAGCTGGTATCTCATCCCAGCATGTATTTATCCCTGGGCCCAGTGTTTTATTTCCTTATCCAGATGCCTGTATGTATATGGTGCTATAGTAAGTGGCTACCCACAAGCAAACCAAACATCATTATTTGCAGGAGGTAGGTACTGAAATTGCATTTTTACAATTTTTGAGAAAAATAATGGGATCAAAGCAAGGACTTTGTTTATCACATGAAGCTGGATTCACATGGTTAGAATAGTGTCTTTTAATTATCTGCAGGGAAATGAGATTGGCTGCTGCTGACACAGAGGACGGACATGTGGGATGTGACCCAGTGTTGTGGGGAGATCAGCACTGACTCCACTCAGCACAAGATCAACACCCTAGTCAGTGAAAATCAGAGTAGCAAATTTGTTTTAGATGTATTTGTGATTAGACACAAAGACAAAAAGCTTAGCTGATATGCTAACTATTGATTAGGTCTGTAAAGTCCCGAAGGAACTGGGGTTAGTTCACATACAAATGTCTTTGCAAGTTTACATACCTCATTGTACCACACAACCTTTTTTTGTTTTATAATCTCCAGAATCAGTCTCAACCTCTGCTTTTAAACAAAAGAGACACACTAAATATATCTGATCATGGCAAGGTAAATGTAACGTCAGGGAACTTCTTACAACGAAAACACTGTCCAGCAGTAGACAGGTTCCTAGGATGCCACCACTGGATGATCAGGGAACTCTATGGCTGTTGTGGGGTTCATTACAGATACAAGGGAAGCACGGTGATGGCTGGGAGCTATCTTTGTTGCAGCTCTACCTGCTGCCTTCCGGAAGGCAAGTTTGGGAACCACTGTTCTGGGAAAACACCTCTGTTTTGTGCCTTGGTTTTAGCTAGGGGAAGGTGCGTGCTTGAAACATAAATACTTAAAGCCCCAGGCAATGCTGGGACTACAAAAGTAAGGTTCTCCATGGTAGATAGTTAGCCCAGGGTCTCTCTCTCTGTAGTGAGTATTCAGACTCTCCTTTACTTTCTGCTCTGCCTTCTTTGGCAGTATAAACATTCAACACTAATAAGGAGATCTCTCCAATACTTTCCTGCCCATCTGCTGCATAAAACAAGCTTTGGACAGCATACTGTATCTTTAAGTGCTGCTGTTTGCTGGCTTTATGCATTTATAAGTAGCTGAAAGGGGTGATTGCTGATTAAGTATCCACTATTAACTGCTCTTAATCACAGCTCTGGAGTCTAATGGAGCTCTTGTTTGCACATAATTGTGCCTCATAGCTGTCTTTAGCATGCTTGACAGATGTGCTTATTGCCATCTTTACTATGCACAATGGGCTTTTAATTATTTATTCATCTTTACCCATTTATAAACTACTTATAAATGTCAAAAGAATGAATGATGCTTATGTTTTTCTTTTTACATCTTTTTCAGGTTAGAAAAATAATAGCTCCATTAAACACAGGGACAAAGGGCTTTCTAGGGATAGCATCAGACCTTGGAGGAAACAACACCTACAAATGTACTAGGAGGTCCCCCCCATTTAACTCAGTGCCCGAGGGCTATATAGGCTACCTGAGTAGCTTTTGCTGTGCCTCTTCTTCTTTCTCCGTTTCCCAGATGTCCTCTGCTTTTCCCTGTCAGTGTGTGTTTCCCCTGGAGGCAGTGTTGCTGAACAAGAAGAGTCGGTGGCTGGCTCCTCCGAAAAGGATTTCTCTTGGGAAGTGTCCAACAGCGAGTCTGTACCAGGGTCTTCATTTTCCTTTGCCATCTCTTTCAACTCTGCCTGATGTGCACCATCACAGGGAGTGGATGGAGTGCTGGGATTGCCTCTATTCTGGCTTAGCTGGATGTCCTGAGCTGGCCTGCAGCTCTCCAAACTGCATTTGTTGTCTTGCTCTTCAGAGATGGACCCATTGAGCTGTTCTCTTAGAGCAGCACCAGAGCTGCTGCTGACAAATGTTATATTGGCACCTATGTTATCAGCAGAGAAGGAAATGGCACCACTACTCAGGCCTGGCTGGAGGCTTGCCATCCCTGCACCCTGCCCATCTCCATCAGCTTCCACTAAGTTTACCAAAGGGCCTTCTGTCCTAGACCCTGGTGGCAAATTTCCTTCAGCATTATTTTCAGGTAATGCCTGGTTTGGAGCTGAGACATCTCCAACATCTCTACCCATCTCTGGTAGGGCAGCGGCCAAGGACAGAGTGCTTTCTGAGGGATGACCGTTGTTTTGCTTGGCTTTATCATCCATCTGCTGACCTCCTGCTTGCGGATCCTCAATGCTCTTTCCTTCAAACAAAAAGCATGAGATCAGCCATATATGCAGAGTTGCATCCAAGATCAACCATGGTGTTTCTGGTATTGGGAGAGACTACAGGCTTGCTGCTGCCTACAGTGGTTGCACTGCCCCTAAAGCAGCCATGGTGATGGGTTGATGGTTGGACTAGATTATTTGAGTGGTCTTTTCCAACCTTAATGATCCTGTGATTCTACATAGGCAGTACCCTTTCATCCTACAGCTAAGGAAGAGCGTCTTCATTAGCATTCCCATCTCCCTTCCCAGTGCCCCATGTGGTCACTCCAGTGGGACTCCGAGGCTCTACATTAGCAAAAGGCATGTTTTCAGCAGGTGCTCTGGTGTCCATGGTTGATGCCCATGAAAGTCTTTGGACTTGCAAAGGGTATCTGAAAACCTATATCAAGAAGAGATCCTGAACCAGCTGGGAACACTGACTTGGTTGGCGCAAGCACTTAAAAATTTCTTGCTGGCCTTTCTAAAGCCACAAAGTCAGGCTTTACCACACACCAGTGCACTCGGACTGTAATTGTGTGTTGATATGCTCAGGTCACGAGCCAAAAAAAAAGGCTAAAACCATAGGCTATCTCCTAAAAAACACCTGGGTGAATGGGGTTCTTCTGCAGATAGGACTTTCTAGTCCTATTTTAAGTGCTGCCTTAGACTCCCAGATGTAGACAGAGGGTACAGCAGACTACAAGATGAAGATAAGCTATGCTAGTGAGATTTGATTGTATGGAGGGACAGGTGGGGATGACGTTAGAGCCCCACCAGAAGTTTCCTGTGGCTGAGCCATGGGCTGTGACTCTCAGACAGTTCATCAGTGCGGGCACAAGGCCACAAAGTCTGAGGCACACCTGGCTGTCAACACCTCAGGGCTTTTTGCTCCTGTCCACAACTCTGCTGCAGATCCTCCTTAATTAGGATGCCCCAAATGCTGGAAGGTTACTTGCTTGTGTGCTTGGCTCAGACTCAGAGACAGATGGGAAGAAATAGCTGCAGGTACAGTTGGGTATGTGTCCTTACCAGACCGGCTCTCCTCAGGGATCTCCGCAGGCAAGGCTTTAGGAGGTGCGTCTGACTCATGTCTGTTCTTCGTCTTTCTCAGTGTGAACCCTTTCCTTATGTCAGCCAGCAGTGCATCAATGACGCAAACATCCTCCTGCTTCACCAACCCCTTCTTAACTGGGATAGAGAGAGACAGGTGATAAATGTGCTCCTGAGAGAGGAAGGATGCAGACTGCACAGCAGTGCTATCACTTGGGGTTGGTACTGCTTCCCTGGTACAAACAGGGCATCTGCAAGACTTTTGACATGTCTGCAGCCTATGGTAAGCTGGAGCAAGCCTATTTCAGAGTAGGAAGAGACTTTTTAGGGGAAAGTCAAATGTCTGTTGTTAGGTTTAGGATTCAAAAAGTTTGTTTAGAAATTGAAATATCTGAAATAACTGAAAGGTTTCAGTTTTATTTTTGTCTCTCTCCTTCTCAGTCAGCAAAATTAAAATTAACTTCTCTGCCCAGCTGCCACTGTGAAAAGTCAGTTGCTATCTGTGGCCAATAAGATGCCTAAAAGCCTTTAGTCAGCCTGCACTTGGAAATTCAGAGAATAAATTACCTCTACTGGTCATTAAAGCAGGACCAGCAAAGAGCTTTCATCAGCTCTTCCAGTCCATTTGGGATGGCAAGTCCTCCATTTCTTTTGATGCCCTTTCAGATACTCACTGACTTTTCCATTTTCTCCCTTCTGTCTCTTCCCCTCTTCTTCTTCCAGCTGTTTCTTCCTCTTCTCTGCTTTTGCAGCTTGTTCCTTTCTGTCTTTGTTTTCCTGCAATTAAGGAACAGGGACATGAAAAGGTTGGCTAAAGATCTGCTAGGAGAACCAATGAAGAGAAAGACGATATGCAGATGGTTGCAAAGGCAGAAGAGAAATCCTCAGAATAAATAAAAGGAGCATAAGGAGGACTGTTTTGCCAAGAGAGTGAAAATGGTTTGTGCAGGACTTTGCCCAGACCCAGTAGGAAGTGGCAGCGGTCATTTGAATAACACAGCTACCCATGTGCATCTTCTCTCACTGACAGTCATCTGAGGCAAATGTGGAAGGTACTGAAGCCATACATTCTTTCAAACTAGTGGCCTTTTGACTATACATCCCCCTTCTGATCCTGTTTGTTCAAGTTGAAGAATTAAGTTTCATAATTCTGTTCTAAAATTTATGCACTCAGCTGTGAAGGCATTGGACTCGATGATACTTATGGGTTCCTTCCAACTTGGGATATTCCATGAGTCTATGAAAGCATCTCTGTGAATATGCAGCTGAAGTTGCACTGAAATCCCAAATCATCAGGGTCTGGGTCAGGCCGGGAGCACTGGCAGTACATGAGGATGAAGTGGAGCAGGGACCAGATACCCATTCACCAGGTGACCTCAAGCCAAGTATTATGAGAAGGGGTCCATAATCAGCAGCCTCCCCTCCGGACTCTGTGCCTGTCCCACCAAGGACTGTTGGAGTAGAAATACAAAGCACTATGATGTGTTCATCTCTGTGTGCAGTCACTAACCTTTAGGGCTCGGATGAAGAGATCTCTGAAAGTCTTCATGGTGCTAAATACATCCTCTAAGGACAACTTGCTTGGGTCCTCACAGAGATAGTTTGCAAGTTCTTCTCTCTTCCTGTCAATGGTTTCAAAATCTTCTTCCAGTTTTCTGGAAGCATCAATGCTATCCTGAAATGCATTCAGTATAGACAGTGAGACACCATCCAGAGGATAACAAGTGAAGTGTACATAAAGAAAAAGGATGTCAACATAAGAACTTGGAGCAGAGCTTTTGGGGTGGGAAAAAACAACACATGGCTCCTGGTGACTGTGTTGTGCCACTATGCAGGGGTGGCTTTAGCAACACACAAAAAGCTCAGTGCAGAGTTTCATCCCAAGAGAAGGGGTTTACTTTGGCGACCTGCACAGAGAGTGAACACATCGACTCAGACATAGTGAGGAGAGGCAGAGTAGGGAGAGCCATTGAAGCAAGCCTTTAAGAAAGCCTCACTGAAGGTAGGTGGGTTTGGGGCAAACAGACACCACTGAGTTCTGTGGCATTACAGCCTGTTTCCAAATCTGAGAGTGCATCTTGTGGTAATATTTTTCACCCCCTTGTGAGCGTCCTCAGCTACATGCAGCATGCTGGCTTTGTATGTGTAAGGTGGAAGCTATAAGGGAACTCCAAGACTGACCTGGATAGGTTTCTCATACTGCTGTTTCACATCGTCATTTGCTGATGAGACCTTTTGCTGGAGCTCCAGCAGCTTTTTTAAATTGGCACTGGATTCTGAGCGTATAATATCAAGATTAATTCTGAAATCACACAGATGCCCCGTATTAGTTCTCATTACTGTATCATGCTCTTACAAAAGAGATGGCAAGGCCTAGCAGGTTTGGTTGTCCCTCTACTTCCCATGTGAGCTTGAGCCCTCAACCCTGTACAGGCTGAACTCATGAAAAAGTTCAGCACTTATGGAAAGATGCTCAGTCCCACTGCAGCATCATGCATTGAGTAGGTGAGCACCCAGAAAGTCCACCCAGGGTTATCTGCACCCACATTGCTCAGCATTTGCTCAGTTTCCCTGGTCAAAGGCACTTTAGAAGCTCCTGCTACTGCAAATGCGGTGCAGATTGTGGAAGGGCCCATAAGGCAGTATTAAATAAATGCACTGCAAATGTCAGACCTCAGTAGTACCAGCTGTAGAAGAACTATAATATATTAAATAGGTGTAAGCACTCATCAACCAAACCTTTTGGTTAAAGATAAGTAACATGCCATCTTATTAACATGCTGTGCCAGCTGTGGGTATCCTAATTTCTGATACACTGTTGACATGCATGGGATTTATTTTTGTTTTTCATTTGAAGGAAGTGACACACAATCTTACCCTGCTGCTTTTGAAACGTATTCAAGGTCCTCCGGCAGTTCCAGTAGGTCTGTGTGGCTGTTTTCTACTTCCTGAAGCAGAAAAGAGAAATAAGCACTGTTTACTGAGTGGTGCAAGCTGGGAGAGGAGGCAGTACTCAGGACAACTGCACTATGCCCCTCATCTGGCCTCCTTTCTGCAGAGCTTAACCATGTGTAACTGATGAATGAGAGTGGCAGAGCAGAATATGAAGAAAAAGAAACAACAAACAGTAATGCATGGAATAAGAAAGTCATAGGGACATAGTGGGGAGTTTGAAAAGCTCAAACACAGCCTGGTGGAGAAGCGAGTGGCCACGAAAAGGCAGAAAGGATGAATGGGTACAGAGCAGCCAGGATGGCTTTGGTGGCCACAAACTCTGTGGTTTGCAGCTGATGAGCAGAGACTGTGGAAATATGAACAAAGGAAGTTGCAGCAACTGCGGGGAAAGATGCTGGAGGAAAGCAGGACAAAACTAAAAGGAGTTCCCTGAGAGCTGAGTAGTGCCCACAGGCATTCACCACCAGCCTAAGAGAGCCAATGCTTTTAACTTGTGGCTAGATGGGGAGGATAATGAATAAGAGTGCATTACATTAACTGAATCTAGAGAAGGAGGAATGGTTCACTAAGGTAAAAAGCCTCCCTTTCCTTTCTGCCCAGGACTGTAGTACCTCCAGGATATGGTGGAGCAGCGTAATGCGGGTTTGGTTTGCTTTGGTTTCTGTTAGTTTGAGTAAAGTGCTGATTTTAAACCCATCAGCATCGCCTGTGTGACTTCCCTACAAGATAAAAAAAAAAAACAACAAACAGATGTAACTCTTCTGTCCAAATTACAGCCTTAGATGTGAAGATCATACACACATTCTGTAGATGGGTGGAGGGCAAGCCAAACAAAGTCCTTACGTAGTTCAGAAAGTTTCCAACTTTGAGAATCAGTTTACAAAAGAGAGGCAGACGGTGACTGGTCAGAAGATCTGAAAAACATAAACGGCTTTTAAGCAAAAGCCTCAGATAAACCAGAACATTTTCTAAACTGGATAAAAAGAGGGATTCTGAATTCCAGCAAACCAAATCTGATTTTTCAGGTTTGCGGCCCAATGGCCCAACCTGCAGAGAAACTGATTCTAAGTAGATTCAATCCCAGTAGCTGGCCTTAATGAAAGTTTCTGCTCACTTGTATTTCTTTCTTTATTCACATCTGGTCTCTCATTCCTAATGGAAAACGATGTGGAGCTGGACTCTGATCAATTGGAAGTACCCAAATTTAACCTGCCGTGGGGTACGAGGGCTCCAGCTTTAATCCTGCAGATTCCATTCAGCTGTGCAGCAAAGCCAGTTCTGACAGTGCTCCAACTACCTGCCAGCTGCTAAAACCAGACACACTCCATCTTTTCCTGGTCTCGCATGGTGAAGGTGCTTATCAGGCATGAAGGGTACAGTCCCTGTCCTTGCCCTTACAACAAGGTGCTGCAGAGATATGCTTTCTGAAGCACTCAGGAACAGATTTAAAAGGAAAAGTTGGCTGCAGGGAATTTCTGGGGAGAGCTTTATCCCAGCAGGCAGCTGTAATTTCAGCTGGAGAAGCCTAGAGCAGGCGTTCTTTAAGACAAACAGTACTGACAAGAAGTGCTTTCAGCAGTGGGACCTGAGATTTCTGCCACAGAAAAAAAAAATAAAAATCTATTGCATAATTTCTCCGTGTATTCACAAACTTGAGCATCAGCAATTCAAAGCCCAAAATAACAAACTTTCTCTTCTGATTACTTTTGTAGGCAGGGAAAAAACTAAAGTATCACTGCTTTCTTGGGGAAGTTTAGGTATGCTTTTCTGGAAGCAGAGAAAATTGCTGTGTAAAGATCTTAACATAATGAATTAGCTCTAGATTCAGCTCTTTTGGAAATTCTGACAAGCTTCCAACACTTCATTGTCAAAAGTGGTTCAGAAGAACAAAGCTGCTGCAAAAGAAGAGGTCTGAGGCTGAGGGAAAATGGTCTCCAGTCATATTAAAGGCTTTGATAATCAGTGGAGATACCGAGAGCTGCATCCTGTACTCTGCAGCAAACCAGTGAAGAGGCTGCAGGAAAGCTGTGCTGCTGGTGAGACTCGCTGAATTGCTCTAGAGGGTTTATTGAGGCTTTACAGCTGACTGTCTTAAACAAGATCCAGAATTAAGGTCAGACGTTTACCTTCGCAGGCTTTCCGGATGGCTTCAGCTTTTGGTTGAATCATATCCAGAACAACAGTAGTCTCTTCACAGATCAGCATACATTCAATCCGTAGCTGATAGCTAAGGATGGAGATTGATTAAAAGCTTAAAGGCATTACAATCTTGGCCAACACATCAGCTCTCTTCCCACATCACCTCTAAGCCTGGCAACCCCATCGCCAACGCTGACAGCATTGCTGCCTTCCACATCCACATGAGATAAGTGCTTGTGGAGGGCTGCCACTTTAGACAGGGACCAGTCCTTAGCCACATGGTCCACCTTCTGCAACTCTCAGCATGAATATTAGGAAAGATTCTTCTGAGTAAGACTGGTTGCACATTAGAACAGGCTGCCCAGGTGGTGGAGTCACCGTCCCTGGAAGTCCACAAGAAGCATGGAGATGTGGCACTGAGGGGCACGGAAGGGATGGTTCGGGGTTGGACTAGGTAGTCTTAGTGGTCTTTTTCAACTTTAATGATTCTTTGATTATATACTTCAGAGGGAGAAGAGGTGCTGCAGAAGTGACACCCTTTCATGCAAGAAAAAGGGGAAGGGAGGGCTAAGGTGGAATTGGAGACTGACCAACTGTATCTGTTGGTGTTTGAGACCTATGAGACATATATATAAGCTTGAACTTCCCATAGAAAAACCGAGGAAAAGATTGGGTTGACATTCACGATGAGCATCCTTACCTGGGAATTTGAAGGAGGAGAAGATAAAACTGATCTGCATTTGCTAGCTTCGACTTCTCTTCTTTGAAGGCCTTCAGGTTTTCTATCTAATGAAAAATAAAGAATCAAGACTGCAGGACTTCACTGCACATTCAGCTCTTTGAATCAATGTGTGCAATTTTTCTCTCCTGACCTCATGTTTTTCAGGCAGCAGCTTCAACAGCTGCTTTAGAACCTCAACATCGAACTTGGTCCGATCTCCATTCTGGACCATGGCAGCCACCTCTTCATTGGAGCTGCAGAGAGAAGCACAGGTAGCAGTCACCGAAAGGTCCCCCTTCCACAACCACATGCTTCTGAGAGATGTACTTGCACAAGCGTTCTGTGCTTTCCCTATTGAAGGTCACAGAGATAGGAAAGATACATCCCAGTGATTAACTCAGAATTGGGACCTGGAAGATCCAGATTCAAGTACTTGCTATGCACAAAATTTGCTTCTGGCCCCGGTCAAATGACTTAAGACTAGGGATCAATGTTCCAACTCAGATGTCTGTCTCTGCATATGTGACTACCTTAAAATAAATGAATTCTTATCTTCCTTCTTGGTCCTTCTTTGAGGAAGAGTTTCACTTCCAGAGGCATTTCACAGCCAAAGCTACCCTAAGAGTCTGTGCTATAACTCCATCTGTAACATGGAGTTGTAGCACTTCATGAAAAAACACAGTTAAATACCCAAGCCTAATATTTTAGAGAGAGTATATGACAAGCTGTGAAGTAATCAGATTTTACAGCAACACAGACTACAGAAAGAGCATTGGCAAGAATAGATTTCTTGAGGACCTTACAGGCACTATGCATGACCTACTCAAAGTGTTGTCAACTGTCATGAAAATCAGCTATATCTTACCATTTAAACTGCTTCAAAAATATGTTCAAATTGAGACTTTTCTTGGAGTCCAAAAATGTGATCTTCATTAAAGAAAAAGAAGATATCACTTATTAGATGAGCTGTCTGCAGCAATCTTTACTCGAAAGAATGAGAGTGGCCCCCTCACCTCCTTCGGCTCTGCCTTCACTGGTGCGGCTGTTTTCTCCTTAGGGGTTGGTTGTGGAAAGCAAAACAGCTGCTCAATGCTTGTGTAGTTGGGCTCTATGGTTTCCTCGCTGCTGCTGCTCACTGAAGCCCACATCGAATGACTTTCTGAAAAAAAGACAAGGGATTAGGAGTGGCTGCAGAGCTGAAAGCTCCCAGCTTTTTTGGGTAGTTTGAGTTGCTAGAAGGGAAATTCCTCAGAAGGTGAATTAAATAAGAAGAGACATATTTTTGATTTTGTAATCAAGTCTCCCTGTGTTATGCTGGCAATAGGACTGCTTAAATAAATCCCTATTGCATTCTCTTAAGCATTGAATTAATCTCCACTGCACTTTCTTAAACCTCTTCTTTTCTTTAAAAAACAAAAAACATCACCTAAACGTGATGCAGGAAGCTCTACTGAAACAATTAAATGTCCCATGATTAAAAACATGCCTTATTTGGACTTTAACTATGCCTTGCTTGTTTGGGGCAAAACCGACCTTATTTGTCCTTGCTTCTTCTCATATTTCATGTTCCATTTTTGGATCCGCTAGGAGAGGGAAATGTGACCCAAAAATCAAGAAACAATTCAATACTTCTCATGTCTCACCAATTATTTCAATGTCCTTCCTGAACTACGAGCTGATTCTGATCCGTACTGCTACATATGACTTTTATGTACTTAGAGTCTGTTGAGAACTCAAGCTTAAGGCATGTCAAGGTGGATTAGGGCAATCTTCCCATTCTTCCCCCTTCTTCAATTTCAAACAATTTCTTTATAAATGAGCTATTCCAAGCTATTTCATTGGGATGGTTATTTTGTCAGTGATTCCATCCTGCTTCCATTTATTTAAGCTCAGCATGTAATGGAAATCAGGGAAGTTCTGTGTCTAAATGGAGTTAACTAAACCTGACAAATGGCAGTTTTTCCCCTCCTATAAAGTAGTTGTGACTTCATACTAGAAGCACCCACCTCTCACCACATTGGAGGGCAGCTTCTGCCAGTTTAGCTTCTTCATTCTCAGCGTTGGTGTCTTCACTGCCTTGTATGGAGGCCTGATGGAGCCGAGCGGGCAGCTGATCTGGGAGGCTACAACAGCTTCTATGTGATCTCCTGCCATACCAGGCAATGGTGGTGGAGGGGGTGGGATGCCCCCTGTACCAGACAATGGGGGTGGTGGTGGAATGCCCCCCATGCCAGGCAATGGAGGTGGAGGTGGGATTCCCCCCATGCC